CCTTTCCCAGGGTGACTGGGCTGGGATGGTTCTCTCCTGGCGTGTGTCCTCACCGCTGTCCGTGTGTCCYGCAGGGGAAGGTGGCACAGACCGCCTGCATGTCAGCCTGCAAGCACCTGTCGACGTCGCTGCTGCAGCTGCTGCTGGAGGCCGAGGTGAGGCAGCTGAGCCTGGGAGCCCTGCACCAGTTCAACCTGGACGTGGAGGAGTGCGAACGTAAGAGCCCGACCCGCCCGCGCCTTCGGGATGATCCGGGAATGCCTCAGAGGGTGGGAATGGTTTAAATCCAGGTGGATCCCCTCTAAAATGGCTTTGGCTCAGGAGTTTTAGGGATGGAAGGTCAGGTCTGTCTGTAAAAGGAGTTACTGATTGGCCAGACAGGGGGTAGCAGAGAAGGATTTTAATCAGAGTTATTTACCACAGAGTATAAACCAAAAAGATTTGTTGGYGCATTACATAAAATTGTGTGTCATATTAAGGTATTTACATTAAAATTAAATGTATAAATTWATTWATTTTTATATTAAAGMTGGCAAAAGGAATAKGATAGAGTAAGGATCAATAGGAACAGGATAGATTAGGGATSAAAAAGARCAGGATTGATWRKGGATCTACRGGAATGGGATAGATTAGGGATTAAAAGRAATASRATTGATTAGGGATCAATAGGAATAGAGTAGATTAGGAATTAAAAGGAATGGGATTGATTAGGGATCAATAGGAATAGAATAAATTAGGGATTAAAAAGAATAGGATTGATTGAGGATCTACAGGAATGGGATAGATTAGGGATTAAAATGAATAGGATTGATTAGGGATCAATAGGAATAGAGTAGATTAGGGATTAAGAGGAATGGGATCAATTAGGAATCAAAATAAATAGGATAGATTATGGATTAAAAGAAATAGGATAGATTAGGGGTTAAGAGGAATAGGATAGATTAGGAATAAGATGAAATAGGAATCAGGTGGACTTTCCTACCAAAATGAYGTGGTGTACACAGAGTTTTTCCACTCAGCCTCCAGGGCAGTAATCCCAAAGCAGCATTCCCGGTTTTAGGGAAATCCCACAGTCCTGCTGTGCCCCTTTGTGGCTGGGGACCCGAGAGTTTTGGAGCAGGGGATTCTCACAGAGCATCCCAGAGCATCCTCAGGACAGGGGATTCTGAGAAATCCAAATTTTCCTCCTCCTTTTCCTCTTTGACACTGCCTTGATGCTTTCTAGGCCATTCCTACTTTTTGGGGCAAAGTGTTTTAAAAACAGGAGGTGTTAGGGTGCATGAATCAAAACCTAGATTATTTATGGCTCCTCCTGAGCAGCTGTGGCAGTTTTCTGCCCCATCCATAACGTGGATCATGGAGAGGTGGCTCTTCCCTAAAAGCTGCTGCTGCCAAGGAGAACGGATGGGATTYCAGAGCAGGTTGAAAGGCACAATTCCTTAAATTCCACCTCAACCATCCCAGAGCAGGAGGTGTSCCTGCCATGGATGGGGTAGGAATGGGAAGGGATTTAAGGTCCCTTCAACSCAGACCATGGGATTTGGGATCTTCTCCATCTCCAGCCCCTTCCTGTGCTCCCCTAGTTCTGAGGTATCACTGATATTTACTGTCCATCCTTTGTAGCTCTCCACAGAGGAGACGCCTCTGTCCCCTCCCCGTTTTGTGGAAGATTCAGGAACTCCCACCTTCCCTTCCCACCCACCATGGACACACACCAGGGATGCTCCTCAGAACTGGCAGAATCCCAGAATCCCAGAATCCCAAAATGGTTTGGGTTAAAAGGACCTTAAAGACGTTGTGTCCATGGGCAGATACCTCCCACTATCCCAGAGTGCTCCAGGCCCTGTCCAGCCTGGCCTGGGGCACTGCCAGGGATCCAGGGGAGTCCAGAGCTCTTGAGCTGATGGTGGGATGGGCACAGTCTGCATTTCCTGGTGTTGRTATTTAATGAGAACTTCACACCTGCCAGGAGACATCCACTGCACACTTGGGTTTGGGAAC